GTGCAAGGATAGACAAACAGATCCATGGAACAGAGTAGAGAGTCCAGAAAGAAACACACATTAAATAATCATTTGGTGTCGACAAGGCGCTAAAATAATTCAATGGAGGAAAAGAGGGTCTTTTCAGTAGCTGGTGCTGGAGCAAGTGGATATCCACATGAAAAACAACGAACCTGGACGCCTATCCAACAAATAATAAAATTTGAAAAATGATAAATTGGGCTTCACCAAAATTAAAAACTAATCATCATAAATATGCTTTTAAGAAAATAAAAAGGCAGGTCACAGATTGGGAGAAAACATTTGCAATACATATATCTGACAAAGGTCTACAAAAAATATCTATATCTTACACATCAATAGGAAAAAGACACAAAACCCAATTTAAAAGTGGGCAAAAGTCTTGAACGGGCACTTCACAAAAGAGATATCCAAATGATGAACATGAAAAGGAGCTCACTTTATTCAGTCAACAGGAATTGCAAATTAAAACCATAAAGGAGTACTACACACAGCCCAGGATGGCTGACGTGAAAAGGACCGACAAATGTTGGTCAAATGTTGGCGAGGTCTTGGAGCAACTGGCACTGCTGCTAGGCACGCACACTGCTTCCTCCACGTGGGTGGACAGCTGTATGTAGCATCTACTAAAGTTTAACATGTACCCATCCCGTGGCCCATCGGTTCTCTCCTTGGGTGTATACTCTAGAGAAGTGAAAACCTGTGTTCACAAGAGAATGCTCACAGCATCTTGATTCATCATAGTCAGAACTGGAAACAACCCCAATGTCCATCAACAGGAGAATTGACAAACTGTGGTATGTTTATCTAAAGGAATATTATTTAGCAATAAAAAGGAACAAAATACAGCTACACTTAACCACATGGATGAACCTCACGGACATAATGGGTGGAAGAGGTCAGACACAAATGAGTGCCTGCTGTAAGACTCCATTTATCGGAAATTCCAGAACAGGCAAAACGAATCTCTGGTGAGAGAAGTCAGGAGAATGCTTATGTCTGGGGGCTGGGTAATTGACTTGGAGGGGCCACAAGGGGACTTCTGGTGAGGGGAATGTTGTACACAGAGGTAAAAGTGCATTGAGCTAAGCATTAGATTGATCTATTTTATTGCATGTAAATTACATTTTTAAAAATGAGAAAAAACATTCCGTTATAATGTGGGGCATGAACTCAGTGCCTCTGTGCAGCCATACGTCCACACGTGTGATCATACGATCAGTGCCACAAGCCCTGGCAGAGCGGAGCCTGCGCTGCCGTACTCAGTCTGTATTCCCGGTGCCTGGCACAGAGCAGGCTCTCGGGACGCATCTGCTGAGTACACGAATGAGCACTGGGTCAAAACCCAGCTCTGTACAGGGTGCTGTGGGAGGGCTGCGGAGGGAGCTTGTGAACTCCGGTGGGAGAAGGGGACCTTTGAGTCACACCCTGAAGTGCTTTGGAGGTTTTCTCAGGCAGAGCAAAGGAGGAGGGGCAGGTAGGCAGAGGAGCCTGCACGTGCAAAGGCCCGGAGGCAGGAAGAGCTGCTTGTTGTGCTGTGGTGGTAGGAGCCTCGGCTGGTGGTGTAGCCGGAAGGGAGGGTAGAAAGGTAGCCTC